GATTCGCCTTGTGCGTCCTCGTCGGCCAGAGCGTGGGTTGCTGTACGTGCGGACGTCATATGAGGCTGAGACACCGTTGTCTTGTGTAGGTCAAATTCACAATCATCGTGTGAGGACAGGTTGTAATGTTTACCAAAGCATTAGGGCCACGATCGCTCCTGCTGAAATTACTGTGTTGGTCACTCGGGGAGGAAGTCGCGATAGTGCACTTTCCTGTCCGTTAGGCTGCCTGGCCCGTCTAGGCGTGGCCAAGGCGTAAAAGGCAGGAGATGTACAGTACAAATACAGTGTTAGTACTGTAAAGAGACTTTCTTTCAAGGAACTGCGATGAAATATCACAACTTCCAAACTACCAAGACACATCCTGTCGTACTTCCTGTTGCGACATATTCGCAGGGCAGTCGGCGTACGTGTTGTCCATAATTTATTACTGTTGCTTTATAAGGTAAAACACAAATCGAATCATAACGTAAATCGTTATTCAGAAAGATCTGTCGGAGAGAACGAAGCATAGGGAAACCTAATGGAGAGCATCCTGATATGCCACGAAACTTGGATCCATAATTTTCACAGGAAAACAAATAGAGATAAAGAAACTAGTCGATACCAGAGAGCACCGGCAAAACTGGCAGAATACAATGCCAATCGAGGCCATGTCTGGTACTGGTGATGTTTGGGGACGTGAGGTCGATTGGGGCTGGGCGAGAGGGCGACACACGACGTTGTAAAGCACGACGGGAAGCGCAGCCTCTAGCCCTCGAAAGAGACTGTCGTGTACGTCGTATATCGCACCCTGAGACATAATTCTTCCACGTGCCATCACCATATATTTCCAGCAGTGGTGGCTTCGTCTGCTCGAACTCTCCTAGTGTCAGAAAAGTATTTTGCGGGTGTAAGAGCATGACTCTTTTCCGTCACAATTTGTGATGAGGATAGACTGTTGTCGCTTTTGAAGGTGTCTTGGGAGGTTCGTTGTGAATTTATGCCGCCATGCCATTCACGTCCGTGTTCTTGTCAGCTTCGTTACATAGCCTGAGACTCTTTACGCCGGACGTTCACTGAGTCAAACCATAACAACACATGAGTACATAGAGCGCAGGTCGTTTACATCATGCTGTACTCTATATTGTCGCCAGTTTTCTTCCATACATCGTGGTCCTCTCATTGACACATTTGTCGTCCTTTGCACGTGATGAAATTTGCTGTTGGACTGTGTAAGTGCGGCTCATCCCTAACAGCGCTAATCCCAAAATGGCGTATGCTGTAATGACGCCCAGGACCATGCCCCAATTTGTCCTGCATTTTCGTTGGCGTTTTCCTCGCACGGTAAAAGCCGAACGGTTACTTAAAACAGGGGTCCGTTCCTGCGCCAGTGCCTGGGAACACGACTGGAGCTCCCCGCCGCCAGCTTTTCGTTCCCCAGCCCTCCCATTAACGAGCTTACAGCAGACTAAAGAGGGATCGCGCAGCACAACAGCCGCCGCGCTGAAGAGGGCATCCAATGTAAACAAAGGGAACGGAAGGTGCAATGCAAGACAAACCAAACAGACAACAAGATGGTGTTCGTAAACTTTGTCAAAAAGAAGGAAGGACCGAAACTCTACCAGACAGTATTGCACACTTCCTTTGTCAGGAGGCGGTGAGCGGCAGGAGCGAACATTGCGACCCCTGCCGCAAATATATATATAAAAAAACGTTAAAAAAAGAGGCTGGGCTACTCTTCCCAGGGTCTTCTCTTACTCCTGCTCCTATTTGCCCCTCTTCCCAACCAATCAGTTCCTAAAAGACATGCCGTTCCCCGACTCCTTTCTCTCTCTTTTTCTTTGCCGTGAACTTCTCATTACTATCGTCCTATTTTTGTGTTCAATTTTTCTCGTTCTTTCGACTCTCGTCGTTTCCATTCTGTCCACCGCGTCAACGCCTTCTCCGCGACAGTCTCCGAGCGTCCTTCTTTTTGCGGTGCACCTGCATTCCAGTTACGAGGCTGCGATCCTTCATGAGGACGGGTTTGGCCTAAAAGCGACAGCCGCATTCCTCCGCCTCGTCTTCGCTTCCTCGTCTCTCCCCACACAACACCTTCTTCGCCCACCGCCAGCATGGGCTTCTTCGACGTGGAGGGTGGCTCGACCATTACGGGCGTCTCCCGTAAGAGCTCGCGCCATTCCTCCTCCAAGCACCACAGCAGCGGCCACCATGAACGGGAGCGCGAGCGCGAGCGCGGCTACGAGAGAAAGCGCAGCCGCAGCCGCAGCGGCACCCGGTCCGTCAACATCTCCGCGCGCAGCTTCTTTGGTCTCGATGACGGCAAGAAGCACCACGGCAGCAGCAGCCATCACCACCAAAGCGGCAACCGGTCGACCGGCAGCTTCTTCAGCCTGCCCAATGTCAGCAGCCGCTCCATCTTTGGCTCCTTTGGCCGCAACGGCCTCGGCGGCTCCTCGTCGTCCTACTATCGCCGCTCGCCGCGGTCCAACTTCATGCAGCGCGCCTACAAGAAGCTCAAGCGCCTCCTCCGCGACCTCATCTACTACGCCAAGAAGCACCCGATGCGCGTCTTTATGCTTGCCATCATGCCCCTCATTACCGGCGGCGCTCTGACGGCACTGCTCGCCCGCTTCGGCCTGCGCATGCCGCAGTCGCTCGAGCGCATGCTCGGCGTCGGAGCGCGCGCCATGTCCGGCGACTCGGCGGGCCTGGTCGGCGAGGCCATGCGCATGGCGGCCGTGGCTGGCACCGGGACCGCTGGGGCCAGGGCCATGGCCACGAGCCTCGAGCGTGGCCGGCACGGCAACATGCAGTGGGAGCGCCGGAGCGTGGAGCGGGATTACTTTGGTGGTGGTGGCAGCCTCGGCGGCCGCAGCCATAGCGACAGTGGCAGCGGCTGGGGTGGCAGTCTGGCAGGCATCGCGAAAATGTTCTCATAGGCAAGTTGATGCCGAGGAAGAGGTTTGGTTTTGTTACGCTTTCTTGGGTCACATACTATTTCATTTGGGTTCTCGGGCATTTTTCTCTATTTTCTCTTTCTTTGATATTTTCTCATATCCGACTATGTTTCGTGTCGTGAAAGGCATAGCATTTACGTCACTTCTGTTTCTCATTTCGTTTCTCTTCGTCTTCGTCTTCTTCCATTTTGCCGATCAAGATTTGGATTTCTTGTGTCGTTGCCGTTATTAAAATAGCACATCTTTGCAAAGGTTTAAATTACACATACAAATTACCAAACAAAAAGTAATTCCTATTAAGCCTACCAAAGTTCTGCTCTTGCTCCAATTCCTGGTCAACTATTTTTGAACCGGTTCACCCAAAAAATACAAAGCCCAGTGTTCTTGTCTTTGACCCGTTTTGACACCATTTTCCAGTTCTAATCTTGGGGTATGAGGAAAGTAGGGGTAAGTGGGGATATAAACGTGAACGATAAAATAAACAATGAAACACACATGGCAGGTCAAGAGACATATGCGTGGCACGACAAGTGTGAAAAGCAGGCGGGATTAAAGATATTCATAAGAAGACAGCATATGAAGAAGTGAAGAAGAAGAAGCAAAGAAGCGAAGGGGACGAACAAAGAATTCGTGGTCGAGGGAGACAGAAAGAGCGGTGTACCTATTTCCTCTTTCGCTGACGGCTTGTGTGTAAGCTGGGCGCACTGCTGCTGCTAGGTCCAGTCGACTTGCGTCTAGGATTGGCAGACGACGAGCTGCGGGAAGGCTTCTTGGACTTGGACGACCGCGACCGGTCCGGTCGCGGCTCTGGGTCAGGCTCGGCTTCTGGTTCAGACTCGGAGTCGACTTCGACAACAATCTCGCTGTGTCTCCGGGATTGGCTGGATTCGCCACTTTGCTTAGCGCGAGATCGTGTGTTGTGAACCGGAGGACGGCGGCCGTTGTCCGTCTCCTCTTCGTCCTCGTCACTCGCCGTGCTGTCGTCGTCGTCCTCCTCCTCCTCGCTTGACTCGGTATCGTGCCTCGCCGGCCCCTTGCGGCTCCTGGCTGCAGCAGGGCCTGCCGTTGATCCACGAGGGTATGCTCCTCGCTCAGCCACGGCCGCAGCGCCAGCAGTATACGTAGGCGCTCGCGGACCCGCAGTCATGTATTGAAAGGGATCAACGTGATTCGCAGTTGTGGCCGGGTCCGATACGTGGCGGGCCGAAGATGGTCCACGCAGGTACGAATAGGTAAATGGCGAGTCGCTGCGGTTGTGGTCTGCTCCGCTCCTGCTGTTGCTGCCGAGTACTGGCTGTGAGCTGGAAGAAGGCAGAGCCCGAGACGATGCGCTTGGCGGCGGGAAATAGCCGATTGGAGGGTAGCCTTGGCGATCCTCCAACTGGAACGAGCCAGGCACCCGCTGCGGTGAGGTGTTGTCGTCCCCCGAATTTCCGGGTGTCGGTAGCTTGGTGAGGCTGCGCGACATGGATTCCAGGTGCTCGATTGGCACCGCCACTCTGTCTGTGCGTTCTTTTCGTCGTTGACGGCGCGCCAGCGCCCGTGCTTCTCTCTCTCTGTGTCGACCAAGGGCAGCAAGCTCGACCCTGCTCAGTTTGACTTGCGCTTTGTCTTTAGCCTGCGCACGCCGTATCCGAGACAGGGCCGAATCCAAAACTGCTCTCTCTTCCTCCCCTGGTTCGCTCACGCCGTCCTCCGAGTCATCACCCGACGACGAATCGGTAGCCGAATCCTGGTCGTCGGAGTCCTCGTCGTCAGCACTCGAACGAATATATCTCCTGCGAGGCTGCAACGCGCCGGCCTCGCCTCCTAAATCCCGGGCCGTCCCACCCCAAGACGAGCTCGAAGCACCATAACGGCGCAAATACTCCGCATCTGCACCACTCCCCCCACTACCGCTGCTCTCCAATTCTTCGACAACCCGACTGCCTCCACCGCCGACAGCCAAGTTCCACGCATCTTGCCCCCTGACCCTGCCTGACCGGGCGCCTCGTTGCTTGCCACTGGTTGATGATCTTCCCCAGGAGGGGCTGTGTTTGGGAGCACGTGGCCGACCATCTAGACCACCTCCCCAGAAAAAGCCTCATCGATGGGCTTGTCCATCATCGACGCGTGGCCAATGATGACAACACCGCTGGCACCGACGAGCCAGGCGATGGTAGTAAAGGGCGACGAGATGAGACCGACAGGGATGGCAATGATGTAGAGACCGGTGTACAGCTGCGAGGTGGTGGCGCGCATGGTGCCAATCTCGAGATCGCGGCCGTCGAGCTTGCCAATGAGGAACATGCCGGCGGCAACAAAGATAATGTCGAACAGCAGCCACCAGTTGGTGAGCAAGGTGTAGATGCAGAGCATGACAAAAACGACAGCGTAGTTGCTGGAGAAGTAGCCTAGGTTGTAGTTGACGCGGGACTGCATGTCGGCAAAGTTCTGAGGCTTCGACAGGCGCTTGACATCGAAGAATTCAGAGAGCGGACGCAGGTTCGAGAAGCGCGTGGCCAGCGACGTCGACCGCACGCTGTTGAAGCGGTCTCCAAGCTGGAGCCGCGACGTCAGCATTTCGATCGGGATCTGGATGCGGGAGGCCATTGTGGCGGCTGAGTGACAAAAAGGAGAACAAGAAAAGGAAAAAATAAGACAGAAGGACGAGGAGAAAAGTGGAAGAGGCTGATCGAAGGGTTTTTATTCGGGCCTCGTCGGAAGTAGCGGTGACGATGCGGATGCAGGTTCGGACGCAGGTGCAAGTGCAGATGCAAGCGTGCTTTCGTTCGCTGGGCGAGTGGATGGGGATGGTCGATTTTCGGCAAAGGGGAGCAAAAGGGAGCAAAAAGAGGGAGACCCGCGGATATTGAAGACGCTGATTATCGGAAAGGAAGAGTGAGGCGAATGAGTGACCACAGTGGGAAACGAGGGCGATAAGAAATCAAAGGACAGGAATGGATCGAAAAGGGCAAAAACGAGAACGCGCAAAGATGAATATTGGCAGATTGATTGAAGTGATCAGGCAAAAAAGTCGGAATCAAAGAAGGGGGTGGAAAAAATGAAGCCAGGGGGCGGAACTGGGAGTCGAGCGAAAATAGTTTGCAGCGTGGGGCTTAATAAATGGGGCGAACGTGCCAGGGGAGAAATAGGAGCGTGTAATTCAAACGAAGTAGGCTCGGCAGGGAAACAGCGCGTGTGTGCTGGTGTCGGCGTGTGGCAAGTGCAAACGACAGATTGAGATTGGGTTGGGCAGCACCTTCCAAGCCTTGGTAATGAACAGTGGAGGAACTGGATGTACGTGACGCGCTGGCGAAGAAACTTTGGAAAGTGCGAGCGATCCTCAATGTGCTATGGAGTGAGCGTGTGAGTACATTCGTAATGTAAACCTTTAATACTTTCAGAAGCCAGAGGTTGTGCCTTCCGCGTTCCTAGCAGTCTGCAGCATATGAAAGGAGAAAGGCGCTAAAAGCCAAATTGGCAGAACGACACGTAGCTTCTTGCCCTTAAACAGCCGTGTTCGTCATAGGCATCACAGGGCTGGGCTTAGGCACCGATCATTAAGCCTGGTAACGCTGAGCCGAGTAGGTATTCAAACTCCACCAACATTGATTTAAATAAGCACTACGTGGGATGCAAGGGCCCTGTCTTTGACGGCGTCTTTGAAAGAATATATTTTATCGTGGAGATGCGGAACCAAATCACTTCCTGGCAATGGCAACAGGCACCAGTTGGGAAAGAGCATCCTGCAAGACAACTTTATAACAGGCATGGCAAGTGCGGAAGTGTTACTATAACGAACCGGCGGCCGCAGAGGCTAGTCGTTGTAGCCCATTTATCTTACTTCTGCGTCCCAGTTCGACTGGCGCTTTTGACATCTTGATATTCATTTTTGTTGCAATTCTCTTGCCTGGCCCTGTTTTCATGCTCTGGTGAAGCTGAGGACTGAGGACTGAGGACTGTGGACTGAAACATCGAAGAGGAAGGCTCTAGTTTCAGGGGCCTGCCTTCCTGCTGAACGACTGCCGGCTAGCGCTTTTTGCGAAAGCACGACCCATTGGTCTGTGACAATGTCACGCAAATAGGCCGTCCTGCAGGAAAGCTCCCCTACTGCAAGGTGAATCGTTCTGGCCACAGACCCCAGTGAATATTCCCCGTAGCCTCCAACACGTCTGCAGCCAAAAAGAGAGCCTTATCACCCAATAAAAAAATTGCTGTTTCGGACACGACACCTTTACGTTCTGCAAACCTGGTCCATCTGCAGTACGACTTGGTTCTCCTGCGGACGCTGGTCTTCTTCGTTTGCTTTCTGTTTAGCTTGCTTCCTTCGCCTTCAATTGCCTCCAATTGCCATCTCGTCCACCAAGCAATGCAACAATGAGATTCTCGACTTTGACCGTCGGCCTGTTGGCCGCCCTTGCGCCCATGGCAGCCGCCTGGACCAAGGAGGGTGCGTCTTGGCCTGTCTGCTTTTCTTTGTGTGTCCGCCTTTTGCTAACCGCCGGGACACCACAGACCGCGAGATCTTCCGTGTGCGCGACGAGCTCGCCGCCGCTCTTGGCCCCGAAATCACCTTCTACGACTTTGTTGGCGTCCCGCCCTCGGCCTCTCTCGACGACATCAACAAGGCGTACCGCAAGAAGACCCGCCAGCTTCACCCGGACAAGGTGAAGCAGCAGCTCGCAGCCGACCGTGCCAAGGCCGCCAAGAAGGAGGGCAGCGGCAAGACGAAGCCCGGCGTCAATGTCGCCAAGGGTCCTTCGCCTGGCGAGGTCCGCGCGGCTGTCAAGCGCGCCTCGGAAATGCAGGCTCGTCTCAGCATCGTGACCAACGTCCTGCGCGGACCCGAGCGCGACCGCTACGACCACTTCCTCGCCAACGGCTTCCCCGTCTGGAAGGGAACCGAGTATTACTACAACCGCTACCGCCCGGGCTTCGGCACCGTCTTGTTCGGCCTCTTTGTCTTTGTCGGCGGAGGCGCGCACTACATTGCCTTGTACATGAGCTGGAAGCGCCAGCGCGAGTTTGTCGATCGCTACATTCGCTACGCGCGCCAAGCGGCCTGGGGCAACCAGTTTGGCGGCGTCGACCTCGGCGGCGACATTGGTGCGGATCCGTCCATGGGCGGCGGCGCTGCGGTCGACACGGGCGCCGCCGACGATGAGCCCCAGCCGAACGTGGCCATGAACCGCAAGCAGCGCCGCATGCAGGAGCGCGACGCCAAGCGCGACGCCACCCGCGAGGGTGCTGGTAGCCGCCGTGCTGCGCGTCGCGGCCTTGGTACCAACACCAGCGGAGCTGGCAGCAGCGGGACGGCTACCCCCACGGCGCAACCTGGTGCCGGCCCGACTGGCGCCAAGAAGCGTGTGGTGGCCGAGAACGGCAAGATTTTGGTTGTCGACTCGCTCGGTGATGTCTATCTCGAGCAGGTCGACGAGGAGGGCAAAGTGGAGGAGCTCCTTCTTGACGTATGTCCCCGCGTGCCACCCCTGGCCTGTTGTGACTTTGTGAACCTTGGAAACTACCTACTAACTGTCGTCTTTAGATCAACGAGGTGGCTCGCCCCACGTTCAAGGACACGGCCGTCTACCGGCTGCCTGTCTGGCTCTTCGGCCTGACTGCGGGTCGTCTGCTGGGCGGCAAGACCGGCGCTGACGAGGCGAACATTGAAGAGGAACAGGTCGACCGCGAAGACACCCCGCTGCCGCGGAAGCAGGCCAAGGCCACGCGCAAGGCGAAGCCAGCAAGACCAGCCCCGGCCGCAGCCGCCGTTAGCGATGTCGACGACAGCGAGTCTTCCCCGGGCAAGGCCACGCCCAGCACCGACTCACAGGAGGACTTTGAGCTGCTGGAGGCATCCACTGGCTCGCTCAAGGCCACAGGCAGCAGTCACAATAAGGTCAAGGCAAACAAACGCAAGGGCAAGAAGAAATGAGTGGTCATGAAGGAGGGGGGCACACTTGGGCAGGGATGCATTTGCTTTGGGTGTCGGTAGTTTAGTTTTTTTTTTAAACTCATCCTGGCAAAAAAAGAGCTTTCTTAGGATATAGATTTGGAGTATACGGATTCACAAAAAAAATGAATAGCACAGGGGTGCTCTTGTTTCAAGCGAACGAGCAGCCGGGAGCATCGATACGGTAAAGCAAATATTCTTTTCTGACATAATTAAGAGCCTTGTCAAACCCGAAGACAAATAAAGCGAAAACGTTGCGAATTCGAACAACAGCAGCAATGAGGGGCATGCAAGATGTGAGACGTGCTGTGATATATGCATGTACCGTTATTCGTGACCGTTGAGAATCCAACCTGGATATGATGAGTAAGATATAAATAGCAAGGACGAGCGTCGTTGAGATGTGCCAAAGAGAGAAGATGGGACGAAGTATCTCGCATGAAAATGCAGAATGCGCAAAAAAAAAAAAAAAAAGGTAGAATGCAGAGACGGGGAGAAACAATTCCATAGTTCCATCTACATGTCCATCTCACAGCCGTCGCGCATGGCCATCAGCGCGCCGTATTGGTGTTCCATCTCCATGGCTGCCTGGTGCGGCTGGGGCCAGGAGGCCCGGCTAGGTGCTGGCATGGACGGCGCTGGCTGTGTTGACGACGTCAGACGGTTGGCGTAGACTGGGTCGGTGGCATGGGAGAATCTCAAATGCACTCCGGCATACCCATTCGGGTTGGCGTTGTCGGGCACATGCTCGGTGCGCGGGATGCTGGCGGCATCGTCACCACCACGGCCTGAGAAGCCGGTCGCCGGTGCCGGCGGTGGCGAGTTGGACGCCATGTATTCGCGGCGTGCCAGCTGTTCGTACCCAGACGCCATGTACGGTTCCATGTAGGACTGGGGCGTTTCCTGCAGCCACCGACCGTCGGCCGACTGGTGCGTCGATTTGTTCGCTGCCGGGACTGCCGCTTCGCTGGGCCGAAAGGACTGCTCGTGCTGCTGAAAAAACTGCTGGCTCTGCTGGCTCTGCTGGCTCTGCTGGCTCTGCTGGCTCCGCTGGCTCTGCTGGCTCTGCTGCACCCGCAAGGTGGAAGATGTAATCTCCTTTTCCATCTCAGCCTCCATAGTATCCCAGGCAGCCCCTACAGCGACGGCGTTGTAATCGGCGGCAGTCCGAGTCGGTGGGCAGATGCGCCACAGCTGGAGCAGGTAGTCACGGCGGTCCGGAGCGGACATTTGGAAAAGGGCAAACTGAACAGGCGTGAGCGCAGTCGGGTCGATGCCGTTCTGCACCAGGATCTGCTCGACCGTTTGGCGCTGCTGCTGCTGCTGCTGATGCTCTTCTTGCATTTGTACATCTTGCTGTCGGGCCTGCTCAACCGCAGGCTGTAGCTTGATGGTGTGGGCGGAATGGTGGTAGTGCTGGGAGATGGAGTAGACAATCTTGGACTGCTCGACGGGGGCGGGCACGGGGACCTCTGGAGTCGGCACAGCGATCGGAATCGAGCTGAGAGTCAGGTTCCGGGCCAAAAGCGCCGCGAGGTCGTCCTGCGCCTGCATGGTCGCCGTCGTTGAGTGTGTGGCCATCATAACTGTTGGACCTGACTGTTGGTCCTGCACATATACGTTAGAGAAATGATTCTCCAAAGTCATACCGAGCCCT